CCCGGTATGTAGATACCCAGCATTGGGACGAGCACACTCGATTTGATAATGACCGTATAGTTGGGTTAGCCATCTTGAATGTAGGGGTGTTTATGGCAGGTTAGAAGGAGGAGACTTATCATCATCAGAGGGACCTGCACTGCCTGGACATTGACCAGTTCATCCAGCTTCGCCGCACCCTGTTTAGCCTTCTGGAAGAGTAACTCCGCTAGACTCTCTTCATCTAGGGTGCACGCCCCGATGGCCATCGCGATTGCTAGGACGATATTTTCAGATGAGTCGAACGAGAGGATGCTCGGCGGGTCCCAGAGCCTGTCGAGACGCTCTCGGAGCTCATCCTTTCGCGGGACTGGTGTTATATGCCAATACGTCTCCAGGTAACGTTCCAGGTAACGTTTCGATCTGGCATGATCGAGGAAAAAGGCCGAGTTGTCGGCCGTGTTCAGCCGCTTGGTATCCGCCAGATCACCGAAGAACAAGCGCCGGTGACTGAAGAGGTCCAAGCCGGGACCTACTTCCTCTGTATCCTCACCTGGCTCGGGTGCGACGCGCGTGCCTTCGATTTGGTAATAGATCGAGTGCAGCATGGAGAAGTTTGACGAGGGCCCGTAGTAGAGCTGGAGGACGCATGACGGCGAGGCGCGGTGTGTTGCCGCCACGCTGTGGACGTGGATGCTCGGGCTGTCCCCGGAGCCTCTGGGTTCCGTCGCAGGTCCTTGGCGGACATCGTCAAGCGATGAGAGGCTGGACGGTGCCGATGTCGCTGCCAAGGGGTGTTGTGGGCGCTTCCGGCTCCTGTTCCGCGCTTTCTCGCGGTAGACGCAGGTGAGACTCCGCAGCTGGCACCGCTCGCAGGGGTCTTCGCCGTTGCAGCGTAGCTTGCGTTGGCGGCATACTTCGCATGCTTTGGATATCCTCCACTTCGATGGGTCCATAATATGTGATTAAGGTTATCTTGGGCGGGAGGAAGTTTTGCCGTTGAGGAGGTACCACTTTGATGGGTTTTCGTAGTCAGCCATGAGTAATAGCAGTCCCCCGATTATCGTATTATGAGACAACACGTCATACCTGCAAGTTGGTTAGCGTCCGACTAAAGTGGGGCGATAAAAGGAAGCAGGTCAAGCCTTAACTTTCTCCTTGTGTCGCGTCCGTGCTGAGGGGGATTCTCTGCTTCTACCTAAAAAAATTCACGGCAAAATCCTAAGTGGCTCCAAAAACACTCCGAGTAATACCATCGCGCCATAAAAAAAATAAGGAGTTCGTATGGCTGTAATGGGCTGGCCAGTGTAAGATTTAATCAACTGTAGAACTGTGGGTCAGCATGCTGTGACTGTCGCTTAGTTGCTTGCTTTTCATAAGACAAGCCACAGGTCAAACGCGTCATCAGAGTTGAAGATCTTTGTCACCGCCGTTAATCGCAAGTGGACTGTCGTCGTTATATCATCTTCAATCGTAATGAAGTTGACTCTGCTGTTTGATCTAACGATAAGCTATGTCCTCTTAAGTGGAAGTGGCCTTGAAGATGGCAATGTCATCCTTAGCCACATTGAATGAAACCGCTTCCCCAGTACCCTCCTGTCCCGAATAGACCTCTTTCCAGCGGTATACACCCTTCTTAAGACCAGGCACATCGGCAAAGTTGACCGAGAATTTCCCTCCCCCAGAGCTAGCAGCAACAAAGGCGAGGACTACACCGTCGCTGAGCTGCCCAGCCCAGTACGGATAGATCTGACCACGTACGGGCGCAGGCGCATTAGGAGGCTGGAAGATGCTAGCGGCTATGCCGAGTTCATCTTGATTGATGTCGATGAGGTCCTGGGGAGAGAATTAGAGACATAGTTTGCATTTTTGGGAATCATCTCGCTGGGGCCGCACCTTATTTCTCAGGATCTTCAATGAGCTCGCTGGAATCTTGTTCAGGTCGGCTCCAATAACGAGCGGGGACTTAGCAATAGCCCACAGGCCAAAATGCACTCGCTCCTGCGGCTCCGTGAGCACCCCATTTCCGACAAACTTGGCAAGTCAGCATCCGCCGTTTTATATCGGTCAGGGTCTGGCAGTGTGATATTTGGGGATGGGGCCACCCACCAGCATGTCGAGGTCGTTGAAGCCACCTGGACCGGAGAACTCAGCAATCCGTGAAGCTGTAGCGCCGATTCTAACTACCGAGGCCCAATCGCCCCAGTTGTCAACCTCCATGCGCCACGAATGGCCGTACTCGGCACCCCAAGTCCAAACTTCGTTTCTGCCCCAATTGCAGAGATTGAACAAGATCTCCTTCGTACCGGCCACACTCTGGATGGCGTCGCGCATCTTGCCATACCATGGCCTAGTGTCAACACCCGTGTCTGGACAGGTTTGAGGCGGCGGGTTGACGGGGCATGGGGTGAAGCAGTTGTCATGCTTCCAGAAGTCAACTCCCCAAGATGCCAATAGCTGGGCATCCTGGACCTCGTGGCCCCAGGAGCCTGGGAAGCTCGCACAAGTCTTCTCACCCGCACATCCGTATAGGCCAAACTTCAGGCCCATGTTGTGAAGATCATTAACCACGGCGGGAATGCCCCTGGGCCACTTGTTGGGGTCGGCAACAAGGTTTCCAGAGCCATCCCTTTGCTTGGTCGACCAGCAGTCGTCTATGTTGACGTATGTGTACCCCAGGTCTTTCAAGCCCAGGTCGATAAATTTATGGGCCGTATCCATCGCATAGCGCTCTGATGCTGCATCACATTGTGCAACGTTCTAGCGCGATATGTTAGCTGGTAGATACTGGACACTATGCTGTGTAAGGGTCGCCAATACCCAGCTACTCCAACCCATGTGTGGAGTACGGCCTAGGGTACCGTTCAATCGCCGCTCAATGGTCGAAGATAGGACTAGACCCATCAGGTGACCTATTGCCACTACCTTCAGAAGTGTAGAGACGGACATGTTGCCGGTGGATGTAGGTTAGAGAGGAAAATATGAGTGCAAGTGACAGTAGAGGCTCGAATTTGCTCTTGGGCCTGTCGATTAAGAATCTTGCTGATCAAGGGACGAAGCGTGCTTTATATCGTATGCCCTTCGCGAGAAAAGTCACGATGAAAGCCCACCATTTACACGCGCGAATCACCAGGATTATGTGTTGCGGTCAATGGAACGCTGCTGAAGCGCACCAATATGTCACTGAAGCCAACTGCTCGTATTTCCAAACGAGGTCGTGATCGCCAGGCGACCCTTTCAACCGGCAGTTAACTGACCAGAGGGTGATGTCACCACATCCCAGGCGCGCCTATCAGAGGAATAAGGCTATATAGTAGCCATAATTTCGCACTATATTCACCTATACCCCACACAACCGAACCACTCATCATCAAAGACCGCAACCTTGAGTCGGTTAATTTCGAAAAGACGAATCGGCAGTGCTCTGAATAAAGGTATCAAGTCGCAATAGCCCGGGGTTGTGGAGACGGACAGCACGTAAGTAGGCGCTTGATCACCGACGAGACCGCCAGCGGCAGACCTTTCAGTCCTGCAAGTTACAGTGGTAGCCGAGGCTCTGTGCTACTGGCCAGAAATAAGCTATACGCCAAGGAATATGTCTATAAGTCATCTAGCCTTACACCCTATGGTTTAAGATGCTTTCGCGTACAGTTGTGACTCTTTAACTCGACTTCTGCGATTGTGGCGTCCACTCAGGATCGGCAAATTCGGCGCCGGCCGGGTCAAAGCCGGGGGCAACTAAACAACGGCGAAGACGTTAGTACTCTGCTGCCACAGCGACTGATAACGCCCAAGATTTCTTTCCCCTGACTTCCTCTTACCTGTTGTTCCAACCAAGGTCCAGTCCCCTTCACTCCTCGCACTCTGCCACTCTCCCTTTTTAACGACGGCCTGGGGCTTCTCGTCTCGAAACACGTCTGGGCCGAGAACGACCTCTGTGATCTCTTCACCCGACCACACCGAGAGAGTCAACGGGGCTCCGGCGTAGTAGTGCCAGACCTCTGCGGCGTCTAGCCGGTGCCAGACGGAATGCCCGGCCGAGCCTTCTAGGAGGTAGTAGATCGCGGTGCTCCGCGAGCGGTTGGTGGCTGGGTCGCTGTCATCGTCGCGGAACGTTTCGGCGAAGTAGCCCTTCTCAGGGGTGTTGGGGATGAGGTTGAGGTGGGCGATAACCTCCTCGGCGGTGCGGTCGTTCATGGCTGTGCAGTCGCGATCGCGGGGGAACTGGTGCGGAGTGGTGAAGGCCAGGGCCACCTCCAGGAGAGGGACGACAGAAACGAGATAAGGGATGAGAATCATTTGTAACTCTCGTGTCTACGATGGGTTTAGTGTGTCGGGGAGAATCGGAGGCGATATATGGATATAGATAGCATACAAACGGCGAGGGTCAATTTTGTGCCTGCATGGGTTGGAAATAAAGCATAAATACGCCAATCCGCAAGTACGCCATACCGGAAGCGACGGGGAACATGAAATTACGCATACCGTAAGCTGACTTGCATGACACGCCCCGCCGGCCGCCCCTTGTCGCCCGCCGAAGTTTACGAAAGTAGGGCTGACGTTTGTCGTACCGGGCTCAGTTCATAACCTGAATGATACTCGAGAGTAGCGGGGTTAGGTCTCGGTGGAGTATGGCGTATTCTAGTCTATAGTAGATAAATGTTGTGAATCCGCCTTCCACTTTCGGGGTAGTGTCACAGTGCCCAACTAGACATTACATCGAGTTATTAGTCGTAGGCACTGGGCGGTCATGTCACGAATCACGTAGTATTTCTAGTTCAGTGGCCAAGTAATATGTTGCTGGAGAGCTGGGCTTGCGAAACTTTAGAGCGATTACGAGATGACCAATAGTGATTGATTGGCTGGGATCAGATCTACAGAGCACTTGCGACGAGGGTGCCAATCAGACAATAGAAGCGTCATAATATTACTCGTTGGGGGACGAGAGCCGCCTGTAAGGAAAAACGTCTTGTGGATAGGAATCTCTAATATACTCCATTTAGATTTATCCAGACATCAAAGCACTAGTGGGTTAGTGGTAAACTTGGTCGTTGCCATTCCGCGACTTCGACCAGCCCCCGGTTCAATTCCGGGCTAGTGCATCGTCTCTTTTTGAACTAGTTTCCTTTTTTGCTACACATTATGTCAGCCCGGCAAACACTAGAGCACCCAACATCAATCAGGTTTAATAGTTGTGCAAGTAAATGCAAGTATCATGCCTGAATGCCCCCTGCCAGTGGAGGGCGACTCGGGAGATTGCAATGGGGCATCATTTGTGTTATTAAGTACCACGCTTACAGAGTTGCATCCATTAATAGCTCTGTGAAAAGAAAAGCATTGCCAGAAAGTGCCAACGGCGGCAGTCAGTCCCGAAGGATTATAGAGAATGCCACGTTAGCCAGGCTGTGCTTACCATTTGTTGGTGGCGGTGAGACAATCCTGGTTCCGCCTGTTTCCCAGTTGCCCCTCCGTTGCCCCTCCATTGGGCAAGTCATCATTTCCCCCTCTACGTCAGTACTACCTCGAATGTCATCCTGCGTCGTCCCGTCCCGCCTTGGAGGTGCTGGCGAGTCCACGATCGTGTCGTACCTAGGCCGGTCGTTCCTTCTTTCTTTCTCGGCCAACCCACAATGTCCACCAACCTTTAGTTTCGGAAGAAGTCGGCATTTGTGAGACCTCATCTTGTCCAGTGTGCGCTTTTCTTCGCTCTGCCTTTTCGTTTTACTAGCGTCTACCGATCTTCTCTCCCCAAGGTGCCTACAGCCACCTCGGAAATGGGCGTTGAGCTTTCCACTGAGGCGTCGGCCTTGCTGGTCGGAGGGCTAGGAGTGGCCCTGTACTTTGGTTACAGTGCTGCCCTCCCCAAGCCGCTCCCGGACATCCCGTACAATAGAGATGCCGGAGCTAGCCTCCTCGGCGACATGCCGGAGATGATACGCTATGTGATACGGACAAAGCGCGTCTTTGTATGTCATCTACTCCATCATTTCTCCCTTTTTCCCCTCAACCTTCACCCACTTCCTTCCACGATCCACATCGTAGATGGACAAGGATATGCCTAGAACTTGCGTAGTGGCTGACAGGATGGCCTCATTGGGCCCCGGCGAATTTTAGTGCTGGCTCACATCGTTGACAGAGCGACACCAGAGCCCGATCGTGCAGGCGTTCGTCACGCCCATGTCTCGGCCGTGGTTGGTGGTGACGGACCCATTCGAGAGCCAGGACATCCTGCTACGGCGCACCAAGGACTTTGATCGCGCGCACCACTTCGGCGACATAATCAGCGGCCTGCTCCCCGAGCAGCACATCCAGTTCCGGTCGAGCGATGCGCGCTTCAAGAACAACCGCGCCTTGATCAACCACCTTATGGCGCCCACCTTCGTCAGCCAAGTCAGCGCGCCCGAGGTGTACAAGTCTGTGTGTACCCTGGTGAACCTGTGGCAAGCCAAGTGCAACGCGGCCGAGGGCCGGCCGTGGTCGCCGCACCAGGACATCACCTTCTGGGCACTCGACTCCATCTTCGCATCGTCATTCGGCCTACTCGAGGCCGACAGCAACACCGTGCGACGCCTAGAGGCCATGCAGCAGGCTGGGCCTCCCGTCTTGCCGGTGGACGTGGACGAGCCCGTCTCCTTCCCGGAGGGCGAGATCCCAGAGATATTCCGCGCCGTGCTCACGCTCTCCGATTCCCTGATGATGACGCAGCTGTCTCCGGCACCGCGGCTGACGGCGTGGCTCATGCACAAGCTGCCGTACCTGCGACGCGCAACGGCGACGAAGGACGCGTGGCTGGGCGCGCGCACCGACGAGGCCGTCGCGCTCATCGATGCGGGCATTGACAGCGACCGCCCGCGCAGCGCGCTGCACTCGGTGCTACTCCGCGAGCGCGACACGGCTGAGCGAGAGGGCCGGCCTCCCGCGTACCACAAGCGTGCCATCGCCGACGAGTTCGTGGGATTCATGATGGCGGGCCACGACACGACGGCTACGACGGTCGCGTGGGGCCTCAAGATGTTGACGGATCATCCGGAGGAGCAGGCGAGACTGAGACGGGCTCTCCGGGAGGCGCTCCCGGACGCGGCGGGCGAGGGGCGCGCGCCGACGTACGAGGAGCTCACGCGCGCGCACATTCCGTACCTGGACGCCGTGGTGGATGAGGTGCTGCGCAAGGCCAACACGATCGACTTTGTGGTGCGTGTGGCACTGCGCGACACGACTGTGCTAGGACGCCGTGTGCCTCAAGGTACCGACGTGTTCCTCATGGGGAACGGAGCCGGCTACGTGAAGCCCGCGCTGAGCGTGGATGACGAAGTACGGTCGCCGGGTGCGCGCCGCGGCGTCAAGAGCAACGCTAGGGGTCTGACGGGCGCGTGGGACGACTCCGATGTCGCCGCCTTCCGGCCCGAGCGCTGGCTGCGAGTGGATACGGATACCGGCGCCGAGACCTTCGACCCCATGGCGGGCCCGACGATGGCATTCGGCCTCGGCCCCCGCGGCTGCTTCGGCCGCCGCCTAGCTGTGCAGGCGCTGCGCATCACGTTTGCCATGACCGTGTGGCACTTCGAGCTGCTCCCGACGCCGACTGAGCTGAGCGGCTATGACGCCGTGCAGCGCTTCGCACGCGAGCCAACACAATGCTTTGTTAGGATGAAGCCGGCCGTTATCTAGGCTGCGCCGAATGGGGGCAGCCGGCATGTGACAAGGGTATTGGATACTTTATTGAAAGCAAGTTGCGGCTCATTCCTGGCATGCAAGCTTGTATTACATCAAACTTAGGTAAGAAAGGGGGCGGCGTATTTGGACAATGGCCTGAGATAGCCAAATTCCTACATGGCCCAACTCGCAAGATGGCGAGACGAGGTGTTTCAGCTGCAAGATAATAATGCCTCGCTATAAACGCTGTATTTGTATAGATAGGGCAGATCCGCGGACAGGGATTGTGTACTCAGCACTGACCTGTAAAAACGTCGGATTCCTTATCAGTACCTGTGATCCTGCGCTTGACGCCAAGAATTTCTCCGCGGACCCAGGTCCCCCAGTCAAGTTAAGCGAGATATTTGGTATTAAAATGGGCCTCAGCTCTTCTAGTGGACGAGATGGAACGCCGTTATCTTGTTCTCTCCGGCTGGGTACGGGAAACCCCCACTTAAGAGCTGGGATCTCGAACATCTCCGGCACGCCACCTATGGCGCCGTTACATACTTCAAGGGAGCCGAGGAGCCGACGCTATAAGATAAGGCCCCTGCCGAGGGATACTTCTAGCATTCCCGTATTTCCGGGCCGGGAACCCTGGTTGTTGTAGTGGGCTGAATACCTAAAGCTGAACAATCCGAGTCCATATCAACACAGTCGGCCCCATATTCACCCGCTCTATCACTCGTATTGACCCCCATCTCGCTCAGCTATATCCACCCAGCTAATGCCCACGTGCGATTGCGGGGGGGCAGGCGGTCTTGAGCGATATGCAAGGGGACTACATTTATCCCCATGCTCGCCTTGCACAACGGACCAGTATGGGCTTGCTCGTGGGTGATCCTCATTTGGCGCAAAGATGGAGACATCCATGATTTTACCACGACAGCCAGCTTTGGCCGCGCCTACCACGGCGAGCAACATCCGAACCCAGAGTATAGTGATCCTCACCGTGTCCCTCGTGTCCGTCCTGGGGTCACTATGGATGATACTTAGCTTCGCGGTACGCTCGCTCAACTCTCGCCCGCTTCGGGGACGGTCTCTGACAGATCCCACAGTGCTTCAAGTCCATGAGGTCATTTAGGCACTACTTAATCCTGTACGCCCATCCATCCTCGACGATGCATGCTCCCGAGCCTAACCCCCTGAGAGTGGTCTTGCGATTAGCGACTGCTGTATGGCGTTCAACTTCCTCCTCTCCTCGACGATGAACGTGACCGGCCGCCTCATCGGAGACCCGAGCCAGGAAACCTTTTGCAGCGCGAACGGCTTCCTGACGCAGGTCTTCGTCGTACAAACCGATTACTGGGTTCTCACGCTCGCCATCTGCACGTACTTCATCCTCGCCGACTTCAAGAGGCCCTCATACTGGGTCCAAGACAACGTATGGATATTGATGGCGATCCCGTGGGTCTTGTCCATTGCGTGGGCATCCATCGGCTTAGCGCTCGCTGGTTATGGCGATATTGGGGCTTGTAAGTCCGCTGTCCATGACCCGCGACCTCCTTCGTCAGTTACTCGGCGCATGAAGACCTGACCTATCCGGGCTTCAACAGGGTGCTGGTTCACTTCCGACAAAGTCCGCCTCCTCGTCAACTTTGTGCCCCGCTGGATCGTCATCGTCGCGATGCTCATCATGTATTCCCACCTCGCTCTCGTTCTACACCGCGCTCACGGCCGATTTAAATTTTCGTCCGACTACCCTTCCGCAGACCAGGCGTCATCTAACTCGGCGGCATTGACTGGGGGCGCGCAGTCAGGCTCGAAGTCTGGTGTTTTCAGCAACAGCCGTTCAAATGGTGGCCCAGCAAGACACCAGAAGAAGCCAGAGAGGAACAGCCGGAAGTTTAAAAAGGTTGATGTGCCTTGGTACCTCTCAGTGGATTTTTTTCTTGCCGCTAACCATCCACTGTATAGCTCGCTCGTCTGATGCTTATATACCCGATCGCATACATGCTCATCTGGGTGTTGCCAACAGCTGTTCGAATTTTCCAGTCTACCAAGGACACTCCCGCACCGTTTGCGCTACAGACGATTGATAAGGTTGGTTCCCGACTTACCTGGAGAGGGTACTGGACTCTAATATATCTTCAGGCATGCATCGTTATCCAAGGCTTCGTCGACGCCATCATCTACGGTGTGAGCGAGTCTTCGCTGTCTAATTGGCGCAACCTGCTCTTCCCAAAATCGTTTCCAGTGATAGAGGGTATCAGCCTTAGCCATACTACGAATACTGCCCCGCCAAGGTTTCCGTCCACTATGCTAAGCGATGGAGATGGTGGTGTTGGCGATTCAACCAGTAGTGTCGGCACTTCTGCCGCCTGGGCAAGTATTAGAGGGCCCAGAGGGACCAGCTCCTCGGCGAAATTGAGCTGGGAAAGTGAGCCTCGTAAGAAGTTGGCGGGCGAAT